CCAGCTTGTTTGCAAGAATGTCATGGGGAACCTTGTCAAAGGCCTACTTAAATCAACAGGACTAACATTTGTGATGACAAACATGAGATTGTTCTGTCAGTATGCAGTCCTAAAAAACCCACCAACAATAGGAAATAATCACTATTGAATATGAACACAGTGGGGTTTACTTCTAAGTAGACTTTCCTACCATTATTTTGTCAGGGGTGAGAGAAAATCCCACAATCATTCTCCCTACTCCAGAAAATTAAAAAATAATCATGAAAATAACATTTTGCTGCCCTTTCATGTTCCTGGATATGTAGTGCCTTAACCAGCCTAATGTGAGGGCCAACCCTGCTATAGGTGCTTTAATTTTACTGTGTAGCTTGGTTAGGGTCAAATAGACAAATGAGGCCACCCAACTCATTGGGCCAGCCTGGTTGCCAAGGGGGGGGGGGAGCCAGGTGGTTACACAGTGCCATCTGGGCCATGGTGCTTATCTGGCAGGCATTGGGCAGGCTGGAGATGCCCCAATTGGTTGCCTGGGCCAGGTTGGTGGTGCAGTGCTCCTGGCTCCGAAGCAGGACGACACTCCTAACATGCATTGGGAACCAGAAGCGCTGTCCCATTGGCCAGCACCAGAACAGGGTCACAGCCAGATTGGTGGGGAGGCCAGAAGGGGTGGGAATTCCAGGCTGCCCCACACCTGATTGGTCATTCAGCCTATTTAAGGCCACATGGCATGGTGAACTGACGCCATTGCTAAGTGGCTCTCCCCACCCTCCCTCCCTTTTATCAGAGATGTGAATGTGCTGTCACAACTTTCCAGGGGTCTCGGATCTGATGGGCATGGTTCCTGTGCTGCGGAGCACTGGATCAGGAGTCCTTCTAGGACCTATTGCCATTGCAGGGGCAACACCAGATCAGCGTCCACCAGTGACAAGGGGATAAGATACGAACATGTGAACAACAGACTGCTTGAGATGGGACATGCGATCAACTGGTTACACCTTTGCAATCCCGAAGCTTGGCCATGACCAGGCAATTCGGTTTATCACTCAACAGGTGGGTTGGTCGATGCTAGATCCAGGCCTGATGCTCTTGGGCCAATCCTAACTGTCAGCTGTATTCAATAATGTTGTGGCCTTTTCCTTCCAGTTGGTTGTAACGTGTTCCTTCTATGCAGTGCCCCCCCCTTCCATGGCAATAGTGACAAAGCATGATACAAACAAGATCTGGTACCTCTGAAATTTCTTTTGTGTATGCTGTGGCAATCAAAAGGCTTGGGAACAGGTTGGGGCTCTGATGAAATTCAAGCTGTTTGGACAGATTAATGGAGAAGCTATTGTCTTCCAGAAGGGTCAGGGGTGAGATATTTGTAGTGGATCTTGGTGCCCATCCCATTTTCCACCAACACAGTCCACTGGACAACAGTTGCCCATGTTTACAAGACTGGAAATGATAAGATCACTTTTGGTTTCATTTTTCAAATTCTGTTTTAAGGCTAAACATGGTATTTCTTTAAGGGGGGGGTGAGATCCTAAAAAAAACCTAATAGGGAGTAATCCCCACTGAATATGAGCAACAACAACAACAACAACAACAACTTCTCTCCCAAAATTTGATCAAAAAAATTTTTTAGAGGATGATAGATGGTCTGAGAGTGCTGTGGGTGCTGCAGTCTACACAATTATCTAAATAAGTAAACGAAGACTCATGGGATTAGGGTCTGACCTTGTTCAAATTGTGTTCTTGCTAGGAAGCAGGGCTATTCACTGTAGGAGGGTCCCTAGAAATGAAATTCATACCATGCTAAAAAACCATGAGATGCCAAGATTTTTTTTAACATAGTATATCAGGGAGGAGGGGAGTCCAATCTGATTATCTTGAAAAACAAGCAGTACAATAGGCAAGGGCCTCACTCAAGAGAATCATGTAACCCTTATTAATTTATGCATTCAGTTGTACATCTGCATTGGTGGAGACTTCCCATCCCTCCCTTTTGCCTTTGAATCATAAATTTCCTTTCACCTCATTTCACATAAACTTCACATCGCCCTTGATGTTGCATCCTAAGGCAGAAATGCCACAATTTAGTTGCATGAAACATGCAGTCAAGCAAAGGCCTTTTCTCCTTCTGTATTTCTGTATGGTGATTTCTGCAAGGCATTTCTAGCTGTAATGAACTGGTAAACAGCTGTCACTTCCCACAAGCTCTTCTGAAACCCATTAATTAATCTAGGTATTACATCATTTCTTATTTTTGTGTGCTTTCAAGTTGTTTCTCACTTAAGGCAAGATTTATTCAGTGGGGGTTTACTTTTGCCTTTGTCTTTCTCTGAGGCGGAGACAGTGTGACTTGCCCAAGGTCAACCAGTGGATTTCTACGGCCAAGCAGGAGTTTGAACCCTATTGTCCAGAGTTATAGTCCAGTGCTCAAACCACTATACCACACTGGCTCTCACATCACTTCTTAGCCATCTTCTTTCCAAGCAGAAAAAAAAAATAAACTGGTATTTAGGGGAGGGATCCACATGTGATCAGTATATAAAAAAAAAAACTTTCTATTTGAAGAAACATTCTTTTCATGTTAATGATAAGTTTTTTAAGAAGGCTTATCCACCAAATTCAGACTTCATATATAACACATTCTTGTTTCAACACTGTGGTCATGGAACAATGAAAGTATAATTGCCTCCCTTTTAACCAATGTATTAATTAAATATATTGATCAACAGTGAAGCAATTAAACTCACTCTTAAGAAAATAGGACATTATATTTCTTCATTGTAGTAACACAACAGTTTAAATTTGCCCTTATTGGTTAAAATTAGTTCTGATCTCTTATTTAAATCAATTTGCTGCTCCTAGTGATAGTCCCACCAAGTCCACATCTAATCAAAATACCATAATACACAGTCTAAAATTTAATGGGTTGTACAAAAGATCAAATGCTATTTTGTTATTCATAAAATCCAACACCATAATTACTGGAAGTCTTTAAAAGTGACAGTTCCCATATCTTCTTTGAAACTTGGGGCGTGTGATTTGTCTTGTACTCGTTGCGAGGAAAGTATGGAATAAGATGGAACAGTTTATCTTTTCACAAACTTCAATCAGCCTCATGTGCCAATCAGAAATTTAAGTCAAACGGGGTACAAGGCGCAGATACAACAGAACAGATTAATATAGAAGTTTTGCCTCACAGAGTTTAACAGTCCTTGGGCTTTCAGTGGCAGCATTGTTGTTGTTGTTAGTTTCCTTTGAGTTGTCCTCAACTCATGGGGACCCAGTGGAGGAGACATCCAAGTCCTCCTATGCTCCACTGCTCTGATTCAAGCCCATAACTTCCCTGATTGAGTCTAGCCATCTGGCATGCAGTCTTCCTCTCTTCCTGCTGCCTTCTTCCTCTCCTAGCATTATCGATTCTTCCAGGGATTCATACCTTCTCAGGATATGGTCAAAGTACAATACCCTCAGTTTAATCATTTTGGCTTCCAGGGAAAGTTCAGGCTTGATTTGTTCAAGGACCCAATTGTTGGTTTTTTTTGGCTGTCCTCAGCATGCTTCTCCAGCACCACATCTCAAATGAGTTAATTTTATTTCTATCGCTTTCTTCACTGTCCAGCTCTCACATCTGTACATTGCAATAGGGAATACAATGGCTTGTATGATTCTAACTTTTTTTCAGTTGTATATCTTTACTCTTTAGGATCTTGTCTAGTTCTTTCATCACTGCCCTTCCATTCTTAGATTTCTTCTCTGACTTAGAGAGCTGGGTATATTTAGCCTGGAAAAAAGAAGGTTAAGAGGTGATATGATAGCCCTGTTTAAGTATTTGAGGGGTGTCATATTGTGGATGGAGTAAGTTTGTTTTCTGCTGCTCCAGAGAATAGGACCTGGAACAATGGATGCAAGCTACAGGAAAAGAGATTCCACCTAAACATTAGGAGGAACCTCCTTACAATAAGGGCTATTCAGCAATGGAACACACTCCCTCGGAGAGTGGTGAAGTCTCTTCCTTTGGAGGTCTTTAAACAGAGGCTGGATGGATGTCTGACAGGGGTGCTTTGATTGTGAGTTATTGCATGGTGGGGGGTTGGATTGGATGGCCCTTGTGGTCTCTTCCAACTCTATGATTCTATTATTCTTTCTTGACCACAGTCTCCATTCTGATCAATGTTTGATCCAAGGTATGGGAAATCTTTACTGTTTTTATTTCTTCATTGTCTAGGATGAATTTATGTAGATCATTATTTTTGTTTTCTTGTTCAGCAACAAACCTGCCTTTACATTTTCTTCCTTGACCTTCCCTAGTAAGTGTTCAAAGCCATGATGTTTTCCGCTAGTAGTATGGTGTCATCCACATCTTAGAGTGCTGATGTTCCTTCTACCTATCTTTACTCCTCCTTCTTCTAAGTCTAAACCTGCTCTTCATATGATATTTTCTGCATACAAATCAAACAAGTAGGGTGTTAATATGCAGCCTTTCCTGACTCCCTTGCCAATTGGGAACCATTCTATTTCTCTATATTCTACCAGTTGTTTCTTGTCCTCAGTACAGATTTCTCATCAGGACTATCAGATGTATTGGCACTCTCATATCTTTAAGAGCATTCCATAGCTTTTCGAGATCAATGGAGTCAAAGGCTTTGCTATAGTCTGTGAAGCACCAGTGGCAACCTGGCATGTATTTATTCTTTTACTATGCAAGTCACATATGATAGCTTGTAGTTAGACTGCAGAGAAGGATTTCACTTTGTAAATTTTTAAATTTTTACTACTATTTGAATTAAGTCCAGCAGTTCCCATCCATTTCTTAATTCCTATTTCCTTTATAGTCTCTCACTTCTGCCTAGCAAGCCAATAAAATAATACTTAAACTTCCTTTTTTTAGAAGGAAAAATACATGCATATTTGCATGAGCAGTTATTTAAATATATGAAAACTGATGAAGTATAATAGTATGCAATATTGAAACATATTTGAAGCAGGAGTTCATAACTAAGCAACCTCAGCAAGACAGTTAAGAATTTGTTTAACAGTGCAGTCCTATGCATCTCTATGGAGAACTGAGGGGGGTTGCAGACTGCCAGAAATAGTGCAAATTGAGTCCACTTTTAGGGTTAGGGTTAGAGTTAGGGAATCATGGGGACTGTAGTTTGTTGTGGCACCAGAGCTCTCTGACAGAGAAGGCTCAATGTCCCAGAAAAAAATCAATCCTCATGATTCCCTGGCACTAACCCTAACCCTAAAAGTGGACTCAATCTGCACTATTTCTGGCAGTCTGCAACCCCCTGAGTCTCATTGAGTTTTCTGAGACTTACTCCCAGAAAGTATATAGGACTGCAATCTAAATTGTCTTCATAACAACTTTTCAATAACTTAAAATATTTTGATTTATCTGAAAAAAATCTTTTTGAATTCTGAATTCCCTGGTTTTGCTGTGCACAGTATTGCTATATACATTTTAAAGTCCTATTTTGCTTACTTCAACTAGTCATGTTTTGTGTGAAGCTTGTACCAGCTTATTCTTTTTCTGCAAAAGCCACCTCTTCAGTTATTTCCTTTAACCTTATAGTCCCTACGTTATTGTTGTGTGCCTTCAAGTCATTTTCAACTTATGATGACCTTATGGTGAACCTATCACACAGTTTTCTTGACAAGATTTGCCTTTGCCTTCCTCCAAAGCTCAGAGAGTGCAACTTGCCCAAGACCACCCAGTGGGTTTCCATAGCTGAAGAGGGAGTTGAACCCTAGTCGCCAGAGTCATAGCCCAATGCTCAAAGCCTATACCTTGCTAGTCTTACAGTCCCTATACCCAAGCAAAATAATACCACTTAGAGCAGTGATGGCGAACCTTTTAGGGGCTGAGTGCCCAAAATAAAAGGCCTTCTGGCACCAGGTGTTACCTCTGGGGGCAGGACTTCCTCTGTGCTGTACCTGGCCTTCAGCTGTCTCCGGAGAAGCAGCTGAAGGCTGAAGAGGGTCAGGAAGGAGGAAGAACAGGCACACACTCTTCCTCTTCCTCCCCACCCTTCACGTGCTGGAGAAAATGGCTTTGCATGCCATCTCTGGCACATAGTCCTTTGGTTCATTATCACAGACTTAAGAGCAATCCAGTAGTGGCGGCAAGGAGCTTCCATGACAGAGTTACTACTACTTCCTAAGGCCTGTTGGCTTGCAGTGGCCAGAGCAGGAGGGGAATGTAGTTTGGCTTCTACAGCCACACATAGGTTTTAGTCATTGTTAGTCTCGTGGCCAAAAGCTAATAGCTGTCTGGTGGCAAAAAAGTTTAATTTGTATTTCGTATGCTTTGCTTAGCAATTTAAGGCTGGGGAAAGATATGAGGACTGGAGTGAAAAACAAAACTTTCTGTTGTTAGCAAAGTATCTGTACAGTTCCCATAGCTATTGGAATGGGTGCCAAGTTATGTCTGCAGACTTTTATTTCCTTTGTTTGCTTCTGCACTATATAACCCTTGGAAATCTGTCTTCCCTGGCCTCACTTCAAGTGTGTGCAGGGGTGCACCCCAGCTCAGGAATCATTTGGCCAGCCACAGGGAACTAGATTGTTGGCCATGAGATAGCTTGGATAGAATTAGTTGTTTAGGGACATAATTTTAACACTTGCTATGAGGGATCTATTTGCCTCCTGGGTTGGACCATCTTAATCAGCCTGCCACCTAGCAAGTCCCAGCAAGTCTAAACCCCATGGCCACAGACAACACTATCAGCCCATCCAGCACAAAAAACAAGTTCTATTGTGTGCTTAGACGTGTGAGCAGAGCCAGGTACCACCTGGGACAGATCCATGGTTGTCTTGGCAGATGTGATGTCCCAAGCCTCTGCTGACAGGGAGTTCAGTGTGGATATAGTAGCTGCCCAGAACCATAAGCCAAAGGGACTCCAATACAAACCTTGAGACCATCTCAGCTAAGTAAGGAAAGGAGACTTTCAGCAATAGGATGGGCAGTTAGGTTATTTCAGAGAGAAGCCACACCAGTCTGCATCTTGTTTAAAACAGCTTTTATTTTACAGTGTGATTCTAGAAGAAGATTATAAGAGCCTTATCGCATTGCAAAAGTAAGCCAACACACAGCAAGAGAGAAGTGACTTTCTGCTTACCTCTCCTTTGCCTTTGAAACACTTTCATTCTCTTCCCAAGGAAGACAGTAGTAACAGCATATCTTTTGTCACACTGGAAATATCCATTTGGCAAAAGGCACAGTTTTACCACCATGTCCCTCTGGAAGGAGAACAGAAGTGCTACGATATCATTTAGAGAGGTAAACATAAAGCCACTTTTCTCTCACTGCCTGTTGGCTTAATTTTGTAATGCGATAAGGCTTTAAGTAATTTGCTTCAAGCTGGACACAGAGCCACCTATAGCTAACCAGTAATATTGCAAGTAAACCCTATATGTCATCTTCTCCTTATAGCCACTTTAACCTGTTAAC